TTAGTTAAAAAAATATTTATTTTTATTTGTATTTGAATTCCGCGTTCGTTACTAAAATACCTATTGAGTAAACACTATAAAGACAATAATTAAAAATATTATCATGGACAGTATTGACTAATAACAGGTCTATACTCTATAATAACAAACAACGGTGCAATACTGAGTAAGTACGGATCAATTTCCATTCTATAATTATTATAGGATTATAGTATAATAGTATTATAGTATAATACATGCCGAAAAAAAGTGACCTTATGGCTTATGCGGAAAACAGTTTGTTGATCAATGAGCACGGTATATGCATGTATTCATATATACTCACCTCTAAAATCAATTAACATAGTTACAAAGTGCACTGTGTCTTATTAGTCATTTTTTACTGGTAAAATTTAAAAATAATATATARGTAGGCGATTTCTCAACTGAGCGAAACAATATTGAAAACTAGAAGTAAAACCAAAAAAAATATATAACGCAAAGAATAATATTATAATATGTAACGTCAGCTTTTGCAGATTTAATACATCGACCGTATAATTTTTTAACCGATTTGTAAAAAAAAAAAAAAACAGTGAAGAAATTGTAATACTGACAATTATTAGAACAGTGCACCGAAGTTCAAGCGCARGCAATAAACGTAATATTTTATACATTATCAGTAACTAATGGGGCGTCGAGTCGGGGGACTCGGCTATTATTGCCTATATAAGCAGGCCGATTAGTTTTGATTGATCAGTGCACGAATTTGTTTGCTGAAAAACTACTACTATTATTATTGTTACTATTATATCACCGTCGTAATCGTAAAACGCTATCACCATGAACGGAAAAATTGTCTTGTGTTTCGCGATCGTCTTTGTTGGACAGGTAAGATAATTTATATAAGGAGACTGCTATTATTATAATAATTTATATAATTTATGATTTTTTTCGATATTTTAAATTTTAATACTCAAGCTGTTTTAGCTATATTAAARGGAAATGATGATATTTATTCAATTCCAAATTATTTGTCTAAGTCGTGATTCTGTTGTAAGATACTGTCATCCAACTGTACATTTTTCACGTAAAATATTGAACCACACTCATAGTATTATGTGTTTATAATTATTTACTTATTATCATTATATACTTTACTGAGTATAGTAAATCATGTAGTTACTTAAAATTGAAACATTACGATATCCATATTATTTATATCTGATGAATAACGTACCTAAGTTTTTAGTTTTAGTTTATTCATTATTGTTAATATATGAAATGTATTTTAACGTTTAAATAATGTTTTAGGCCATGTCAGCCGCAACTGGTCCAGCACTTGATACCGAAGACATTAAAAAAGTTGCTGATCAAATGACACAATCTTTTATGTCTATTACTAATCACTTTATGGGAATTTACCCTAACTCTGCCGATGCCCAAAAATCCGTCGATAAAGTTAAAGCTCTGATATCTAAAGGATTTAATGACGTAAGAATAGATAATATAGATTGTATTTCGTTACTTTTTCAAATTTATTTCTATTTTCGAATTGAATTTACTTTTAAAGATTGAAACTGAAGCTAACAAAATGAAGGATATCGTTCGCAAAAACGCTGACCCGAAATTGGTTGAAAAATACGACGAATTAGAAAAGGAATTCAAAAAACAAATCAATGATGCCAAAGTAATATTCGACGACAAAGTCGGCAAGCCCCTTAACGAAAAAGTAGATGTAAAGAGAATCACTGAAACAATTCTTAAATCTACTAAAGAATTAGAAGTAAGTTTACAATGTTTACAAATAAAATAAAATATATGTTATGAACGTATAACCACAATCATAATCTAGCAAATACGTAATAYATTTAAGTGTTATATCTAGCCTGCACCTAGGTATATTCAATGTATATCATATTATAAAACAATTTATTGATATTTTGGAATATTAATTTTAGTTAATAATTTGTTTCGTTTTTCAACAATTAACTTATTTCTCGTTGACAAATCATGTTCAAAATTAAAACGGTACTTGACATTTTTTGACATAATGTTTATGTTGATGCACTTTTAAATATTCATACAGGWTGTTTACCGACTGGATGATTTGAAAGTTAAAATAACAATTTAAATTAGCATTTGTCGAATCCACCAGATGCTTAATTATTTATTAATTATATTTTATCATCAAATTTTTTTTTTTTTGTTTAAATATGTTATGAACTATTAATATTGATTATTGATTCAATTTTTCAGGCTACCGTGAACAAGGCCATCGACGGAATCAAGAAACCATGAACATTTTAAAATGCAATATGACTAACCCAAACAACATTTTTTTATATTTTTGTTAATTAAATTATTTTTCTTTATAAAATTTATTTTTATTCCTGTTTTTTTTTATTTAATAAAAGATATCTGAATTAATATTATTCAAGTTATTTATTATTAGATATTACTTATTATCTAAATGTTTCTAAAGCTG